GGGTCGGAGAGAAGACGTTGTGGGGGGGGGGTACCAAAGGGATAGCAGGGGAAGGGGGGGTCAGGGGGGCGGGCGGGGGGGGGGAGGGTCTGATACTCCCCCTCCCTAACTGCCCTGTTCCCCTTGACGTTCATTTCAGGGGTGGTTGGTTGGGGCCTGCGTTGGATTCACCCCCCTTCTATTTATTTATCAAATTTCTATAGCTGCTCATCTCACAAATGTGACCCTGGGCGGTGCGTGGTCAAAGATGCCACACTGGATTGCTGGGAGAGGTTGGAACCAAAGGAGGTTGAGCTGGAAATCTCCCACAGTCTTGTTACCATCAGGCAGTCGAGGGGTCGAGAGGCCAGCTGCAGCTGTCCGTGTGCAGGAAACCCTAAGGGGGAAAGGGTTAGGGTTGGGGTGGCTTCTGATCAAGCAAATGGCATTCTGGAGCCCCTCCAGAAAGAGAAGCTGGCTGCTACTGTACGGGACCGTTCCAGAATCCAGGCCTCTTTGCTTACTCCCTCGCCTAGGAGAAAAAAGATCAAAAGTCTGGGGGTCTGGGGAAGGGTACCGCCTGCTCTGCCTTGGCCCCCTCCCCCCCCCCCAAAAAAACAACTTGGCTGCTTGTGCAGCAGGAACATCCCTAACCGTTTTTTCATTTGTTCTCATGGTCGTGCTCCGGCGGCTGTTCTTAGGAATTGTTGCCATCTTTTTGACCCCCATTATGATACTTTAAAAAAAAAAATAGACAAGCCACACTGAAGTATTTGCAGAACCCCCTTTTCCAAAAAAACAGCAGCACTTGCACCTTTCTGAAATTTGGCTGGGACTGGATCTTCACCCCCTCGGCGCGTTACGCGATGCGTTGTCTGAGGAGAGTCTTCAGAACACCCCTGGCACAATGGACAAGGCAGCCTTCCCACAACCATCTGGAACCCTTTGCGGGTTTGGTCCCCAAATGGGGAAAATGTGCCCCCAAACTGTCAGTTCAGCTTGTCAAGTAACAAGGCTGTTCGTAGCAGCTCTGCGCTCCAGCCCCTTTGGGGGTGTCTTGTGAATCCACCTGGGGCAAATGCCTTGACTGGGGCACATCCCAGCCACTGCTGCCATGGACAACCCTCCCCTCCCCCTCCCCCTCCCCCTCCC